TGGAACATAGGGCTCCAAGCTAGTGGCTTGAAGTTTCTGTAGCAGTGTTTATTTTGCAGGATGGGGTTGCTAGCCTCATACCCAACCTTACCTCTTTACCAGTATTATTTCTGGCTTAGCGAGGTAAAGGAGTGCGTCGGCCAGGGATTGAACCCCGAACCATGTGCATGGTCGACGAGCGTCCTAACCACTAATCCACCGACGCACTAGATATACTATTGAAGCCCTATATTCCATTCGAAATCCAATAAGGATATCCTTATTATTATTGTCCCCTTGGGTTCCTAGTGAAACATAGGACTTCAACTGCTGCACGTCTCCACTTGCTTCTGTCTTCCTTCTGCTGTACTTTTCACCTGAATCCATGTTAGTCCATACTCTTTCAACTCCTCTTCACACGATCTCCTCTATGTCACCCACCCTTGCACTGACGTCCCACTCGCCGCTTCCCTTTCGGCTTGGTTCCACTCGAGCAATGGTCTGACGCGCACGTAATGTCATCCAGCGGCCTCATCAGCGAGTGTCCAATGTGTCATCTCCACTTTCTCCTGCATATTTGTTGTTTGGCGATTGCTTCTTGTTTTGTTTGTTTGTTCCCAGCCATAGTTTCTTGTTGGTGATTCTTTCCGGCCCGGCCATCTGATCTTGAGTATAGAGCCAGCGAACACAGTTGTTGATAGAGGTCTGCAACAAGCTGTTGGAAATATTCTTTGTGACCCGCCCGACAAGTTCCTGATCCGTATAGAAGAACTGACTGACTTGACCTTGTTTGTATTGAAAATCCGACGGAATTTTGTTGTTGACGCTGGCTGAGTGATGAAGATTTCCAGATTGGTTTCAGTTGGTTGATGAATGTGTTTGTCGCTCGCCTTACCGATTCTCGCTCGATTTGACATCTTCATCCGTTACTCCTGTATTCGAGACAATGCTCCCTAGATCAGTGAGTGAATGAAGTAACCTCTTTCAAATCCCTCCCGTTGATGGTAATTGACGCTGGATGTTGCTGTTGTTGGTTGGCTATTTTCATAACCTCCGTTTTGTCTATGTTTACCAGGAGTTCTGCCTTCGCCGGCTGCTTCTTCGACCAGTTTTTCGGTCGGTTTTCGCTTGTAAGTCTTCGATTTGTGACCATCACATCAACCATAAATCATCCACGCGCAAAATCCAAGTCCTTTAGGTTCTTCGCGTCGGTCCAGGATATCCCTGTCTTCTCGTTTCCCACAGTCTGACGCATAATCCAGTCCACCACAATTAGGAATATCAGTGGTGATAATAATCACCACTATCTGATTCCTGTGTTTACTCCGAAAACGCCTCGCTGAGTTTTCCGTTGTGGATGACTTGACATGTGCCGTTGTCGAACAGCAGCTGTTGAATAAGGTTGATGAATATTTGAGGCACTGTACGCCGTAGTACTCGAGTAGTTTCCAAATTACTTCACGGTCAACGCTGTCTGTCGAAGATCTTCTCAAAGTCTATAAAGTTGAGATACAGAAAGGTTTGATTGCCATTCCATGCTTTGTTCGATGGTGATGGTGATGCGTAGGGATAATAAGTTGTTTTTTTTCCTTTAAAAACCACTCCATTCAAATTGAGCACACATTTCTCAACATCTCTCTATTTATTGATCATTGGCGAAGGAATACTGTGCATTTGAATAATCCAATAAGCTACAACATATACATCATGTGTATTAAAAATATTTTTTCTTTGAAGTATCATCGTAATATTAAGAAACCAAAGAAAAAAACCATTTCAACATGGAATCTAATCTAAATCACCTGATCAAAGTTTTCGGTGAAAATCAAATACCATCTTTTACACAGAATGTTCAAGATAATTTCTATTATTACAATTGTTACGATTCATTTTTGACAGAAACATTTATGTGTAGGTTGAAAAAATGTGGTTTTTCTTTTTACTAATAATATCTTAGTTGTTTAATATTATTGGTATGAAGTTTTTTTTTGAATTTACGTTCATCCATGAATCCGTTATAATATCGATGTGAATTTGTTGCCAACTTATACCATTTCTCTGGCTTAGTAAACTTGATGTCGCGCTGACTGTCGACCAAAGGATGTGTTGACTGCATATCAGCAGTTTCCTCCGTCCTCCTTTATGGATGTGAGTTATTATTATTATTATATCCTTTAATTCCTAGAGGAATATAGGGATTCAGCTGCACATCTCCATTGCCTTCGGTTTTCTGCCAACATTTTCACCCCGCTCCAAGTCTGCCCACATACCTTCATCTCCTCCTCCTCAAATGACCTCCTCCAAGTCACCCCACCGTGGGACGACCAACTCGCCGCTTCCTTTTCGGGTTCCACTGGAGCGATGGCTTGTCTAGTGATGTCACTCACTTGATGGTTTCCTCGGAGTATGGCCAGCCAATCCATCTCCATTTCTTCCTGCCTATTTGTTTCGCAGTCGGTTCCTGTTGAGTTGGTTCGCTCCCAAAGATCCCTGTTGCTGATCTTTTCTGTCAGGACATCTGATCTTAAGTATTGAGCGAAGACAACTCTTAATGAAGTAGTCTGTAGTTTGTTTGAGACGCTCTTTGTGACGCGCAGTGCAAGTCTCTCATCCGTATAGTAACACTGACTTTACATTGGAGTTGAAAATCCGGATCTTATTTTTGATGATGAGTGCTGAGTGTTGACCTCCACACAGACTTAAGAGTAATGAAAGCTTGTCTTGCTTCTCCGATTCTGGCTTTGGATGGATGTGAGTTATGTCCGTCGAATGTCGAATGCATTAGAAAGCTGACTAGCTGTCATTGATCATAAGTGTATGCGTTCTATTTCCAGTGTTAGTTTGTGTAATAAGGTGAGAATTATTGAGTTCTTGATGCATCGGTCAAGTGCTAGGTACGGTTGTACAGTTACATCTATTAAGATGGTCAGGAGATATGTTACACATGCCTAACCATCACCTTCCTCGACCGATAGGGAATTTTAGCTGATATAAGATCCAATTAGAGGTGGTCGAACCAAAATATGGCATCATTAGCCAAAGAAATCCATAATAGTTAGTTTATGCCAGCCAGACAGCCACGTGGAGAGGTGTAGACTTTTTGACTAGTTAGGGTCCCCGAAACAGTAAGAACCAATAAAGGCAGGAGACAATTTCTGACATGAATCGAAATCGCTCTTGAAGATGGCGAAAATGTATTCACTCTTTGTGATTTGTTATATCCAGTAAAACTCTATTATTCTTCTTTGATATTACAAGTCTTTCTTCCTCACTCAAACTTCTGTTAATTATCCCTCTTTACTCTCTTCTCTTGCTTTGCGTGGTACTTGGAGAATGGCGACTTGAAGTACTGGACATTTGTGCAAAGTTCTATATTGAAACAAATCAATCACTCAGTGGTTCCACGACGATGACAGTGTTTCTATTGTTAATGATTATTTGGAGATGACAGTTCTGCAGGTTTTTACTCTTACTTAACTGTAGGTTGCTCTCAAATAAAGAATGTTTTTAGATAGTTGGAGGCAATCGACAGGAAGATTTGGACGTAGGTTTCTTGCCCTATGGTACTCGTCTGCAATCTTGAATGAACTAATGTCCTATCTGATATTTGTCGCTCGCATGCAGAGGTGTCAAGACTGAGCTATTCGGACTCACGATTGACCTATTGTAAGACTGTTATAGATACTTTGATTGAACACTAGGTGCCAAATGGTGTCATGCGTATAGTATTGTGTTTGGTACAGATTAAATTCCAACAGTCAATTTTGCAATGTGGTCACCATGATCACAAAGTACTTCGTCTATACCGAACGAAGGCTTAGACGGATGACTCTACTAACTACTTAGTGTCCAATCGATGTATCCAGTGCAGTCCTACAAGAGACACCATTGTTGAGGCCAAATAGCTCAGTGATAACATCTCTAACTGAAGCACTCCCTGGGTGACTCGGGCTCGAATCTCAAAAGGGACATGAATTCCTTCGAGATTGTAGGCAAGTACCAATATGCACAAAGTCAAGGTCCAATTACCTGAAACCATCTAATAACCACAATGTAGAGTGCAGTTTGATGATGAGCCACCTAGGATGGTGACCACCACATATTGCAAAGTTGACATATAGATTTAAGTATACGATAAACCATGAAGTGAACACATGACGCTATCTACTTACTACCTGGTGCCCAATTAAAGTACAGAATTTTTCCATTCTCAAAAGTAAATCTCCTAGTTGACATATTCTAAGTGAGCAAAATATTCTCGCATTTATTATTGGTCTGTATAACAATAGAGAGATGAGTTTCGCTTGTGGGGATGTACCTCTTTTGTTGAACTACGAAGCTTTCATTCAATGCACCGGGAATTCTCTTCTTCTACTCTAATCTGTTCTTCATACGCTGTAGTATCATCAGCACTCAAAGGCTCAGGATTCGGCTTCGTAAGACAACCACCTACTTCAGGTTTGCGCATCCAGGCAGTATCCTAGCTCTCGCGCAGAAAATGAGACACTGGTGTTTTCATAGAATTGCATGCATCCAATGGCATCATCGTGAAGGTGATTCTCAGGTCTGGGGCAGTGTGTGTGGAGGTCCCTATTCATTGGGTATTGTCATCTGGCTTGACATATTCTACAAATGACATCCTAGAGGCTTCTGTACCAACGCCTGTGTTTGCTAGTCCTGGAATTGAATGAAAAAGCGCAGAGGTGGTTAACCTGTAACTTGGAGTCGTGAGATGAAGGATATTTGTAGTTAGATTAGTAAACGTTAGTATATCATGAGTCCCTGTTTAGTAGGGAGTCGAAAAGTAGTTAGAATAGTGGGATCGATACGCTATCAAATATGGCCAAAACTCCCCACTTCGTTACAGTAATATGATGAGTGCTGATTGTTCTTAACAAACATGCTGGCGCTTACTTTGTTTAGCGCATCTCTTTATGCTCCCCCATTCCCATATTGTACCAAAATTTGTATATTTCAAAAATAATCAAAAATATAATTTAAAAAAAATTAGGTGAACTTACACGGGCTTGATTTTTTGGTTTTAATAAAGGTTTCATAGCTGCATAGATTTTTGAAAACATATAAGGACTGTGGAAAATATGTACAGCTTTAACGCGTAAAGGACTGGAACCTTGTAGAAAATTTACAGCACGATGTATAAACCATGGAGACATTAAATGGAATGCATGTTTCCATGAAAAACCATTTAAATTAACTAGTATTACAACTCCATGGACTTGAACTTCTGGTGAAGACTAGAAAATAAAAGCGGAGGGAGAAATATTAAACCTTAACAAAGAAAAAAAAAGTAAGAACAGCAATATTATTAGTCTATTTTAATTCCTAAAGGAATATAAGGTTTCAGCCGTACGTCTCCATCGCGTTCGGTTATCCGCCAACATTTTTGTCATCTCGCTCTATGTCTGCTTACATGCTTTCATCTCCTCTTTGCATCACCTTCTCCTCCATGTCACCCTGGCAATGACGACCAACTCGCCGCCTCCCATTCGGGTTCCACTCGAGCAGTAATCTGGCGTGTAATGTCACTTAGTTGGTGGTCTCCTCAGAGTATGACCAATCCACTTCCATTTGTTCCTGCATATTTCTTGAACAATTCGTTCCTGATTGATTCACTCGCAGAGATCCTTGTTGCTGATCTTCTCTGGCCGGCCATCTTATCTTCTAGTAGTATTGAGCGAAGACAGCTGTTGATGAAAGTTTGTAGTTTGTTCGAAGTGGGCTTCGTGACACGGTGCCAAGTCTCTGATCCGTATAGTAAGTAGCGCTGACTTCACATTGGAGTTGAACATCCGGATCTTATTTTTAATTCAGAATGCTCTTCATTTCCACACAGACTTGAGAGTAAGGAAATCTTGTCTTGCTTTTGCGAACCTCCCTTTGATATCTTCATCAGTTCCGTTCACTTGTAGTTGAAACGATGCTTTCCAGGTCGTTTGGTAGGTAAATGATGTTGCTTCTTTAAGATCTCTACCATTTATGCTGACTGTTGTCTGTTATTAGTAATGGTATACCTTGAGCCGCAATCTACGAATGTTTGGGATGGGATTCGCTCCCGCCAAATGCAAGATGATGTTACAGGACTGGACTACATCGACGCCTAGTTTAAAAATAGGAAGTGAAGTGGTAGAGCACGTTGACCGCTTCACTTATTTGGGAAGTACCATCAGCCCCAACGGGCTGATCTCTGACGAAATCTCAGCACGAATACAAGGGGCTCGTTTCGCATTTGTTAGTTTACACCGACTCTGGCGTAGACGAGATGTTCGACTATCGACCAAAGGGCGGGTGTACTGCTCATCAGTCCGCTCCGTCCTCCTTTATGGCCGGCTGTGAGACCTGGCCACTGAGAGTGGAAGACATGAAAAGACTAGCTGTCTTTGATCATAGGTGCCTGCGCTCTATTTCCCGTGTAAAGTGGCATAATAAGGTGAGCAACATTGAGGTTAGGCGCAGAGTTCTAGGTAAACAGGGGAAATCAATCGACGAAGTCGTGAAGTTACAAAGACTGAGATGGCTAGGACATGTGTTACGTATGCCAAGCCATCGCCTCCCTCGACGAGCAATGTTAGCGGATATAGGGTCAGGCTGGAAAAAAGCTAGCGGCGGTCAAACAAAAACTTGGCACCAATCAATGAAATCCACAACAGTTGGTCTTAGCCACGTAGGAAGGTGTAGACTTCCAGGCTGGGGTCCTCGGGACGGTAAAAATCTATGGTTGGAAACAATTGGTGACATGGCTCAAAACCGTTCTCAGTGGCGCAGATGCATCCACTCCCTGTGACTTATGATGTTCAATGAAACTGTTTTGTATTTCTTTATTACTCCTTTGTCTCACACCTCTGCTCACTGTTTCTATTATGCTTTTCTTATACTTTCTTCTCTTGCTTCGCGTGCTACACGGAATGTGGCGACTTGAACTTCCGCACATTTGTGCAAAGTTCTATGTCGAAAACAGACAGACAGACAGACAGACATTAGTAATGGTGTCACTGTTGGCCAAGAATCTTCATCATCACCTCTGTTTTCTTCAAGTTCTCCTGAAGTCCCACCTTTGATGCTTCTATCGCCAATTTGTTGCTTTTCACTCGCATATCATCTAATTTGTGGGAAATCAGACATAATATATTATCGACAAAGTTCAGATCCTCCAAGATTTTTATTGTGTGGGTCACTTTGATACCTGTTTCCTTGTTGTTCGCTGTCTATCGCATTTATCCAGTCTACCGCAATCAGGAAAACCATTCGAGATAGTAGGCAGCCTTATCATACTCCCGTTTTCAATTCGCAGGATACCGTGAGTTTCCCGTTGTCAATTACTTAGCCTGCAGCATTCTCATACAGCCTTTGGATGACGTGTGTAATTGTTGACGGCATCCTGTTTTAGCGAACAGCAATAAGTATTCTATAAAAAAAAGGATTCTGAAAAAACGATTCGATTCTACATCTTCAGTACTGAATATATTGTCTAGACAGACGGAGAAAGCTTCGCAATTAAATCAACCAGCTCAGAGAATACAAATAATTCAATATCATGCATCTGAGCTACAAATCTTTACCATTATTTCAAAACAGAAATATTATAAGCGATTGGCTTGTACTTAAAGTCAGAAGAAGGCATATCACGCGATTCTACTACCGATTTCTGTTTTACTTGAAGATACTGAACAAAGAAGAAAAAATATTATGTAATACATTTTGCTGAATTCTATATTCGCGCTTTTCGACTATTACGCTACATTTTGGTCATAAATAAAATCTCTTATTACTCTAAAATTTTATGCAAAGTGTTTGCGGAAATTATCACAATTATTAACCTTTCGAACACTGAATCCAAAAAATACAATCTTATTGACAGATAATACACATAACTCACTGTTTGGATTTGTGGAATTTTTAAACATAAACACATCTATAATTGTATATATTGTTGGATTTATATGTTCAAGTTGCTCCAAGTCAGTGAGTTTATGGTTAAGATATCATTTTAGTTAACTGTACTGAACTATATTGCATGTTGTCTTATTGTATAGTTGTCGTCGCTTTTTGCCCTTTTTTCTGTGAACTGTTTCCTTTGTTGATGTTGTTCTCATTGTTTGTCCGTTATTTTCTGATTTTGAGGGGAGCAACCCAAAAAGTTGCTTCTCTCTAAACTTTTACTTAATGTAATCATTCTTTTCTCAGGCGTGAGGCTAGCAACCCCACCCTGTAAACAAAAATTGCTACAGAACTTCAGTATGTGAACCTCCTTGCACCAAAAGAAAAAGTCTGTGTAGGAACATGGAACGTCCGAACTATGTACGAGACTGGAAAGCTGCCCAGATCGCCAACGAGATGAAAAGATACGGAATACAAGTGCTGGGAATATGTGAGAGCAGATGGAATGGGAGTGGACTCACCAAATTGTCAACAGGTGAGTCAGTGATCTACTCCGGTCACCCAGAAGATAACCACACGCACACCGAGGGCGTGGCTATCATGATGTCACCAACGGCAACGAAAGCCCTGATACAATGGGAGGCGATTTCGTCCAGGATAATGACCGCCAGGTTCAACTCCAAAGGAAGGAAAGTGTCAATCATACAATGTTATGCACCCACAAACAACGCAGACCTCGAGAAGAAAGAAGAATTCTACAGGCAACTACAGGCAACAATGGACAATACTCCAGCTGGCGACATGAAAATACTAATGGGAGACATGAACGCCAAACTGGGACCAGACAATACGGGAAGGGAACTCATCATGGGTAGAGAAGCTCTAGGAGAAATGAATGAAAACGGAGAACTCTTCGCCGACTTCTGCGCCTTCAACGAACTGGTGATTGGTGGCAGTGTATACAAGCACAAAGATATCCACAAGGCTACATGGGTGTCACCAGACGGGCAAACCAAAAACCAAATCGACTTCATCTCAATCTCAAGGAAGTGGAGGCGCAGCCTACTGGACACAAAAGCAAGAAGAGGAGCAGACGTTGGCTCAGACCACTATCTCGTACAAGGGACAATCCAAATCAAATTAAAAGCTTTCAGGGAATCAGGAGCTGCAGATAGACCACAAGCCAAGTTCAACACTCAAAAGCTGAAGGACCAGGCTACAAAGGACATCTTCATTGCAAGCATAAAGGACAAAGCCGAGACACAAATCAACACTAGCGAAGAGGTCGGCGTTGAAAAGCACTGGAACAACTTGAAAACGGTGTGGAGCCAAACCTGCATAGAAATTCTAGGCAGAAAAAAGAGACAGGACAAACAGTGGCTCACTACGGACACTTGGAAACTAATAGAAGAGAGAAGGACAGTGAAGCAAAAGATTATCCAGTGCACGACGAGCAACAAAAACAGGAGCTGAATGCAAGCTACAATACACTGAACAAAAGAGTGAAGAAAAGTGCCAGGGAAGACAAAAGAAAATATTATGAAACCATGGCAAACGAAGCAGAACAAGCTGCAGGCAAAGGAGACCTCGCCACACTCTACCAAACAACTAGGAACCTTTCGGGCAAACGTTCGACACAGATTAAGCCAATAAAGGACGACAATGGAAAGTCAATCACCAAAGAGGTGGAACAGAGAAAGCACTGGGTTGAACACTTCAAAAGACTTCTAAATCGTCCGCCACCTACAACACGTCCAGCAATACCAACAACGGAAGCAGAACTACCAGTGAACACTGACCCCCCGACGAAATCAGAAGTCCTGAATGCAATCAAGATGCTTAAAACTGGGAAAACACCGGGACCAGATGGAATCCCAGCAGAGGCTTTGAAAATAGACCCAGAGACAACAGCGGACTTGATGACACCACTACTGGAGAAGGTGTGGAAAGAGGGCAAAGTACCCGAGGATTGGAAGAACAGTTACTTATTCAAACTTCCAAAGAAAGGAGACTTAAGTCAATGTAAAAACTGGCGTGGAATTATGCTTCTGTCCATTCCAAGCAAGATACTAAGTCGCATCATCCTGGAGAGAATCAAACAAGCCCTAGATGAAAAACTTCGTCCGGAACAGGCTGGATTCAGGAGAAACAAATCATGTATTGATCAAATCGCCACTCTACGGATCATCATTGAACAAAGCTTGGAATGGCAGTCACCTCTCTATCTCAACTTCATCGACTTTGAAAAGGCCTTCGACAGCGTCGATCGAGAGGTCATTTGGAAACTACTTCGCTACTACGGGGTCCCATCGACAATTATACACCTCATCCAACAGTTATACGACAATGCTGCATGCCA